AAAGGTAAATCCATATTTACGTTTAGAGGGTACGAGGATCTCATATTCTCCAAAAAAAAGATGACATATTTTTTCCATTTCAAACATCTCTCTTATTTGGACAGTGTATATTATCTTCAATTTACACAATTCGTCACAGATAAAATCAAGACGGTCGCTAAGTTCGTGATTGAAAAATAATCGAAGCTCATCGGTATAAAAAAAGAATCTGCTTTCTTTGAATCTTAATATAATATGTATACATATGTATACGTATATACATATATATATATATATATGTGTGTGTGTGTGTGTGTGTGTGTGTGTGTGTGTGTGTGTATATGTGTATATATAATATTGGCGCGCAAATATTATTAATAACAGGAAGAGACGCAGAAACGTGTAAACGGGGAAATTACATGTGGAAAATTATGTACGTGTATTAAACGGCATGCTGCTGCCCTTTTTGCTGCGATACGTAACAAAAATACACGCTTTCGGCAAAACTTGCTTTGAACATCGATCGTGCGTCGTTGCGAGATTATTCGAAAAGAGTAAAGCTACAATTGGCTGATCCTCTTTCATTTACAATAATAGTAATCATCGTCCGTTCAGTATAATAACATTAATTGCACATAGCGAATACTGAATGTTCCTGATCAAACTTATATATTACTATTAGCTAAACCTAACTACGCTGAACAATAGGTAAATGTAGAAAACAAAATCATGAACGGTTCCTCACCGTCGTGATCGAGAATGCGAAATATTACCTTGACAGAGTGCTTCAAGTTTCTATTTCAAACTCTTCGATGAGATCTTGACCAACTAGATAGCCAAAACAGATGCGCAAACAGATTTCGAGCTCCAAATTTCTGACGGCGCAATCTGCGCGCAGTCTGCGATTAATTTGCTTACTGGAAGCAAATCAGTTTCGAATTACTCGAAGGTCACAATTAGTCGGGGAAATTTACAAATATGAAGCGCGGGAAACATTGAGGCACCCTGTATCTTCAGTTAATCGGGGATCGGTGAGGAATAAAAGTATATACGTCGCTCAATAAGACGCGCATACAACGAATACAACTATATTAATTATAGAGATGTTCAGTCTCCTCGGAGTGTTGAATATGGAAGGCCGTGTTTGGTTCGAAGAAAACTTTACGAGAACTTGTCCGGTATTGTATCACGCTCTTAATTCGTCTTTTTTCCTCCCTCCTCGTTTCCTAGAACTGATGTGAGTATGACAAGACGACGGTTCGATTTAATTAAACCAGCTGACGTTCAGTTCGCACCTCGGTCAACGCGCTGACATCTTTATACATAATTTTTGACACTTTGCATTTGGCGCAGCCACGAAAGTTTAAGGAGAAATTTCCAACGTCTTATTGTTAGCCCGTTGTCGTAGAGACAGCGCTGAAGTGAAATTTACCTCTCGCGCATAGTGGAGTCTCGTTCGATTTTTTTTCCTACGCTTTTTTCTCATCTCTTTTACATATACATCAAACATTTCTTAAATATTTCTCGCCTTCTCGTTTTCTCTCCGATTCCGAATCTTACCGCGTCCGGATTACCTAGTAGACGAACAGTCCTACATCTAGTCTCACGCTAATTCAAGAACGAAACTATCACTTCATATATGTACATGTACCCTGGTGGAAGCTTTACTGAAAATATAATGAAAATTTGCTGAAATGTATTTGGAAATCTCCCCTCAATCGATTCCAAGTTTATTTCATTATCATTTTATCAAGATTTCCGGAAAAAAATTGATCGATATTTCAGCAATTTTTCCTTAAGAAGTCATGCAATTTCAGTTATATTTAGTAAGTTTTATGACATCTAATATCCTAACATTTTCTTATTACTTGTCAACAGTATACTTTAACCTTCCTTATATTTCACAGTATTACATTGCGATTTCACAAGGAAAATTATGATTTATTTTTATATACAATATTTTTTCACTAATTTTCATTTTATCGATTTCATAGTACTTTCAGCAAAATATTTCCATCGGGCTACATATATGTATATATCATATATCAGTCACAAAGTCGTAAAACCAAGCCTGAGGATAATTTGATTCGATACTACGATTGTTTTAATGATTCAGTCGTAGCGTCATTGCGGGCGCGTCGCCCGCGTTACACGCAAAAAGGAGCTTAAAATCGTAACATTACATTATTAAGCGAGTAAGTAACAAGAGCGCGCTGAAGCTTTTTTTGACATTTCGTTTCCGTCACCGCGATCGATTGAGAAATCGTCAAATTAATCATCCGCTCGGAAAATGAACTCACGTTTAAGCGGCACGGCGAATCGAATTGAGTCGTGGACTCTGATATGTTTGCACACTGTCTCGTAAAATACGTTTTAAACAGAGAAGAGAGAGAGAGAGAAGGGGGCGTCATTCCGCCCACGTATATTGTATTACCTTCGTCTCGTGTGTCACCCAATGGTTTTCGTTACGAGATAAAACATATTCTAAATACGAATTTGTCGTTTTGAATATGTATTTCGAGGTACTTCCAAGTCTCGAAACAGGAGGATTGTTCACGAATCGACTTCCCAGTCTCCCAGGTCTTCAGCGCGGCTCTTGCAACTCGAGGAAAGCTTCTCTCTGTATGAGCACCGTGTTTCTTAGAACGAGTAAAACGATCTCGCTTATCGCGTCCGAGCGCCGTTTCTGGTTTCTTTCACGTTTTCTGCGAGAAAGGGAGAATAGCTGAAGAAGAGCGACAGCGAGAGCGGTTCGTCGAAGGAAAGCGCCGAATGGCTCCCGGAAATGCGTCGTCGACTGATTATTTTCCTTTCCCGGTAGAATCCTCGTCAGCGAGAGATCTCCCGTTTCCCCGCCGTCCCCCGGACGTGCTCCGCGTCGCGAGCCGTTTAATAGACCATACGGTGAGGATACTGGTAACTTCGCGGTTGGGAACTTAGCTGCAGCTGCGCGGCTGCGTAGGGATCGTAGCTCTGAAAAGAAACGGGAATATTTTCTCAAAATAAGAAGGACTTAAACTTATGAAACTGAAATCTTTTTAACATTTAAGCCGCCACGTCACTTATATAATTATATACATTTATATATAATTATATCGAATTACATAGAATTATATGTGGAAAATATATACGACCGACTGTACGCTCGAAACTGGCTGGGAAATCTAAGTGCTAAATATGTCTTATTGCACTTGGATCCTTACACTTCGAGAATGTTTATTATTGCCATTCGTTCGCGTAAACTTCCTCCAAGAATCTCAGAGAATCTAAGCCGCACTAATCGACTTACCTGTGCACGCTTTTTAGACATCATGAACCTTTTCTCCTGAGGATAGTAGGCACGTTGAGGATAAAGGTTGAGGAAGCCGTACTGCGTATTGCCGTACTGCGAACTACCGTACTGCGGAGCACCGTACTGACTCGCGCCTCCGTACTGTTGCTCCAATTGGTTGCCGTACTGCTCGTAATAGCTGGGCGGATGAGTCCGTACGATTCCAATGTCGGAGGGCGACAACGTATCAGCATAATGCCGCGATGGGTACATCGGCGCGTCCATCCACGGAAGAACTGCAAGGATCAGGCCGTGTTAAAGTGACGATTCTAGCTTCTGCTAGAATAATTTCATCTCTGTCGCGGAAAGTTATGAGGAACTGTAGTTGCACATGAACTGCAGAATTGTACGCACCGTTCCTAGCGTCTTCCTCGTCGAGCAGACCGCCGTCGTCCATCATGTTTTCGTATTCCTCATTAGCGTACTTGCGCCAGTTCCTGTAGATGGGACAGAAAGAAAAAGAATATTAAGTGCACAATGTCCGAAGGAAGTGTCGAAGTGTGAGAGAGAATGTATACACTGAGAAGAAACGTTTAATATTTGTAACTACAATCGCACAAATGGAAGAATTACAGTCAAGGGGCCACTTTTCTAGCAAGCGTAACTATAGTGTCAGTAATAATCATATTACTATTATTATTTTGTAAGTTCAAAGCGGAAGATGCAATAGAGTTGCCGAAAATGACTACAGGCATGGGAGCGACTCACTTTTCTCACTTTTCCCCATTTATTTCACAACATCCCACTTTTAAGAAAAAAAAACTTACTTTTCTCACTCTTTCCTTATTCGATTCGAGCCCTTTAAAATACTCGATCACGAGGAATCATATTCTTTAGAAATAAGACAAAAATTCCAATGAAAGATAGAAAAAAAACTGACTCTGTTGACATATTGCTCATAAAGTGAAGAAATGTGATTTGATTTTTGAACTGTTTTTCTCAGGCTTCTTGTAAAGCTGACTCACCATTTTCTTACCTTTTCAAAGATAGAATTCACTTTTTTCACTATGTTTGACAGTTAAACCGCTCCTATACCTGTCTATAATTTTCGTCGGATTTCGCTCAATGTGTGCTGAATGATCATTGTTACCCGTTGCGCCGCTCGTTTTCCCACAGCGACAGAAGAGTCAGCACGTCATCGGGATCGATGTCCAACGGCAGTTCTCGCTTGTACCGTGGTTCCTGATAGAACGGGACGCTGGAAATTGACGCAAAACGTCGCTTTCACATATCGACGTTTTTTTTTATTTTTGATCGCGCACTAGTCACGCGTCACGATGATATTGTTAAACGTGTCAAGGAAAAGGGACGAGATGGTAATCGCAATTGCGGAAACTTGAGTCGTTTGCCCGCGCTACGCTCAGATCGATGTCGCGCGCAATCTCCCTTCAGAATCGCTCGTTGAATTCATTATTGCCGTCGTGTTTGCGCGATGTCTATATTTCGAGATTGATCGGCGCTTATCCGTGACGTAAAACGACCAAACGACCGACTCACCGACCGACCGGCCGATGATCATCGTCCGGACATCTCTTCCTTACACTCAGTGAACACCAACTAACAGTAATGTAACATCAATGTTATAATTTCCCACTCAATGATATAAATGTAATATAACGCGTGTGTTATGTAACAGTTATTTTGTTGAGTGGGAAATTATAGCATTGACGTTATGTTACTGTTGGTTGGCGTTTACTGGGTATAAATGTACAAACTTAAGGAGCATGTTTCGGATGTAAATTAAAGTAGAAATGTCCTGCAAAAACGAGTCCAACTCGAAACCGTCATTCATCTACAAGTGTTTAAAGTTTATAAATTTTTAACATTTTTTAAAATTAAAAATAGAAAATAAAGGAGAAAATACAAAGATTATCTAAATTGTTCAAATCGATGTCCTTGGGCATATTAAGGGCATACTTAGCGCGATGCGATTTTAAATCTATTGAATAGCCGCACGAAGGACATCATGATTATTCCTCATTTGTTCACACGCATCATCAACACGCTGTATTAATTCAGCTCAAATATTAACTTCCCTCTCGTATACTAAAAACATTTCATCTTTATGCGTTCTTCCTTATATATTCCATTTTAAATAAAAAAAGAAATATACCAAAAATTGTGCTGTCACTTATAAACTTTGAATACTCGTAGATAAATAACCGTTCCGAATTGGACTCATGTTTACAGGACATTTTCTACTTCAATTTACATCCGGGACACGCTCCTGAAATTTTTACAGTATATTATGTACCATATAACAATAACCCGGTGTATCGAGTTCTCTACATTGTCCGTCGAGTGTCCTTCTTCTTCCTTGACGCTAACGAACCGGACACTTTATCTCGCTGTCGCGAGAACCACCCTTTGTGAGCGCGAGCCCCGCGATAGCTGCGCATTCAGCGGCCGCCCCCGTCGACACAATAGCGGGCACGCGAACAATACGACGCGGTCCTTGAATCGCGGCGATTGTCACCCCCCGCCGCGATCGCCGGCGGAGCGGCATCTTCCAGCCTGTCCGATAAATATACCGTGCTCGAGCGCGGCGAACCGTAGGATGATCGATATGACGCACGAGCGGTGACCGAGCTATCAGCTGATTGGCGACCGATGCGCCCAAACCTCGCAGGGTACTTTCATTCAGCTGCCCCGATGTGTTTATCAGCGCGTAGTAAAGGCGCTCCCGCCCTACGCGCGTTTCTTTCGGGACGATCGCCTCGGCCTCGCCCTCGCCCATCGCAGAAGCTGCGACTCGGTTCGATCTCTCTCTCTCTCTCTCTCTCTTCTCGATCAGACGAGACACGAATAGTTCGCTTTGACATTCTTTGCCCGCGCAACGCTTTTACGTTGAACGATGAAAACTGACTTGACGCCTGACTTGGCACCGAAGGCGAAGCCGGAAGAACGAATGGACGAAATGTCACATTGCGGTATAACAAGGAAGGTATGATACGTCGCAACGGAGGAAGAGAATTTACGAACCAGTAAACAGCAACCGATAGTAACACTACATCGGGTGTTATAATTTCCCGCTCGACAATGTAAGTACAATATAACACGCGTTGCACACAGTGAAAAATTTTTTTTCTTACAAGCGGTTCATCCAAATTCTTGCGTTACTTTAACAATATGTTAAAAAGCGACACATTCGCAACGTGAACATATCAATTTAATATATTTGTATACTTTTCAACATATCCCCTATATTAAAGCGATATTAAAATTAAGCGGACCGTTATAAATTTAATTTAGGTGTATATAACAGTTACATTATTAACTAGGAAATCATAATTACTATATAATTGTGGTGATATCATTGTTATCTGATATTTAATATTGTTATATGGCGGGGTGTGTAATGTCATTTGCGAAAAATCCCTCCAATTAGATTATCTAATTGCTGCGTATCGGCGAGACCTGTACGTTAATTTGCGACTCGACGAGCCGTCCCCATTCAGACCCTCAATCGCTGACGAGTGGTATTTGTTTAATGCGTCAGTGGATTGTTATATCGCGAGGTGGGGAAGAAGGAGGGAGGGAGAGGGGGAGGTAGAATGGCAGTTCGCGTATCGTCGCGGCCGGAAGTATCGTCGATAAAGTGCCCGAGCTCCGGCGGTCTGTCAGCTGATTGGTTGGAGATATGCCAAACAATCAAGCTCTGACCTAGTTCCCGCCTCCCAGAACTCCATTCAGCTTTTCGTGGGCCCACGGATACTCTCCACCATCGCCGCCACCGCTCGCCACCTTCTCCACCATCCCCGCCGTCACCCCCGCCATCTCCAGCCACCACCTGCGTCACGCGTATCGAGCGACTCGTGCACTGCACCAAATTCTCTGTGCCTGTGTGCAAGTGTGCGGCCACGTTCATGTGCCACAATGTGTGTATGCACAGGTGTCTGTGGAGGGCCGTTCTCCTTCTCCCCCCTCCTCCCGCCTCTCTTTCTCTCTCCTACGCTCACTTCACTCCGCACGCTAATACGATCTTTCTACGAGATATCGAGGATGCGAGGGTGCCGGAGGGTGCAGGAGGCGGTGCGACGCAGGTTGTTAATTCGCGGGAACAATAGCGATCCTTTTTTTCCTTTTTTCTAATTATCAAAGCCGGAGATTCTCGTCGCAGCGAAACGGAAGCCGGAATCCTTCCGACTCTGATATGTTAACTTCTCTCTCTCTCTCTCTCTCTCTCTCTCTATCCGACTCGGAGCGAGTCTTTCCCTTTAACTGTGAAGCCTGTGTCGAGGAACGCTGGCGAAGAACTTGCCGCGAGAGTTAAATGAAATAATGAGATACTCGAGCGAGTTATAATGAGACGATCATTAACTGTTGAACACGCCAAACTTACATGAGACGAGACGGGAAAGATAACCGGTGAGAAATTTCAGCGCGATTTCCTCGACATTGCGCAACACGTGATTCTTTGTGAAAATATATTCAGGGAGCTTTTATCGAGCTCGCGCAGAGCGCTTTTCGCTATTATAGTGCCGGCCGATACAAAGATAAAGCATTATGTAATCGCGTTTAGCATAATGGAAGCGGTGGTACGTTATTAAGAATTTTAACGTGGAAAAATTGACCGTCGCCTCTCTCTCTCTTTCTCTCTCTCTCTCCCGCCTCGGTCGTCTCGGAGGCGACCTGTGACATTTGCGGGTCGGGCGATTGTACATTCTCGTACATTTTTCGCGTAAAAATAACCGATCGGCGACGGCTAACTTTAAAGCGCTAATAATGTCCGCTCGATGAAAGTCCCGTGTGTGTTTAATTTTACACCGGCCTCAGGCAATTCCGTGCGAAGCGAGCGCACTTTTACGGCTTCGGTATCGAGCGTTCGTGTTCACGCGATTTCCTGAAATTAGATTCGGCCCTCGATAAATCCGCTGCACTTTCCGTGAAAGCGTAATTTTTCATCTCGCGCGCGCCGCCCACGACTACTGAAGCGGAAAAGCGTCACGTTATTAAGTGACGTGAAAATTCTGTTCACGCGTGTCGTGGCGATATGAACGCTCAGGATCATTAATCAACTAGTGTGCCTTACAATCGATTCAAATCTTTTCAGAAAACGAACACCGACCTGTGTCGGCTCGCGATCGGCTTGCGAGGACGACGAAGGCTTGAAATGTTATCCTGCTGCTTCGAGAGAACGGCACCAGTCGAGCATACGCTACTGATAGTCTTCGATGACGACAACTTCTCTCTCTCTCTCTCTCTCTCTGCAAGCGGTTCGATACGACTTGGTCGTCAAGTCGACCGCCGTTCCTGCACCGAGGGCAACGCCCTCACCAACCCTCTCATCCCCATTCAGAAGAAACGCCCGAGGAAAAGAGGGTTGCTTGGAGGCGGGTGTGGGGTGGTAAGGATGGAAAGGGCGCAGGGTGATATATAGCCGGCGAGGTACACCTAGTCGATCCACTTTACGTGGAGGGTCTCTCGACTGCACCGATGAATTGAATCGTGCATATTAAAGACGGACGTACCGAGGCGCGTGTCGCGATTCTCCGAGTGCACTGTCGCGAGAGGGGAGGTAAATGAGGCCCGTGCAAAATTCATTCCGCGCCCTCGATTCCTGACATTGCATTATCTACGAGCGCGGACGGATTGGGATCGGTGGGATTTCGGCGAGTTCAATTTCCGAGGCGCTACGGGCCGACTCCGTGGAAGGACATCGCGCCAAATCGTCGGCGTCGCGCCGTCGTTTCCACCATCTATGCTACGTAAATGGAATTGTTATAAAATTAATCCGCGCTGTCCTCGATATTTCGTCCTGATATCTCATTACCGAGATGGCAATTCAATAGCGGTTGCCCCCGCCGGCTATCGACCGCCGCCAGCTATCGATTTCGGAATTAGGGGAAATGGGACGCCGCTATCTTACCTCCTCTTAACTTGAGCTTGCACCGGTTGCTGGGTAGGCGTTGGTACTTGGAACGAGCTGCTCGGAGGCTGTAGCGTGGTGGTGCTGCTCGGCCGCACCGTCACCGTGGACTTGTCCGATCTCTTGCGCCGATCCTCGCTTGTGTAGTATCGAGAGTACGGCGGTAGCACGTCCCATACGCGCGGTCCATCCTCCTCGACCTCGTTCACGAGAATCTTACCGTAACTGGAACAGTAAACACTTCACTCGTTCATTCCGCCGGATTTTACCGCAAGCAGTTCGTCGATTTTACCAATTCAACTCGTATAAAAAAAAAAAAAAGAAAGAAAAGATATTAAAATATAACAAAGCGAAGTCAGTGAAAATAGCACGGAGACAGATTAAGGTCAGTATTCATAACCAGATCTCATATTTAAGACTGTCTTAAGTTCGTCTTCGGATTGTAGCCGATAAGTTTGCTCGTTTTAGCCGAACTAGATTTCACTTTTTGCCTTCAGAACGAGACAAGTGTGTGGCTTAGCGTTGAAAGGAAAAGGAACGAAGTCTGAAGATACTTAAGATGATCTTAAGTATAAAATCCGACTGTGAATACCACCTTAAGACTCTGGCCCGTCAACTATTTAATTTACTATTTGATAGGATAGATTTCTGAAGTATGTCGGAAACTCCCACTTTCGTTGTCTTTTAAGGATCATAAGGAATCGGGCGTTACAGTTAACATTTAATATAATTAAAATGAGGTGAATCCGAGCAGTCCGGCATTATATATAAATTATTGTAGTGCGAAGAAATTGATCTCCGGTTGCATCGAGGTCATAATGCTACTCGAAAAATCGTATCGTCACGTTGTGAGAACCGAGCTTACTCATAATTCCTGTCGTATGGCGAGTAAGTCTCGTGCTCGTACATGGAATTGCTGGGCTGTTTGGACTGAGATGGTTTATCGTCCTCGGCGAGAGCCGCTTTTAAGCCTCCCAGCCCCGAGGAAGCGAGGGTCCCTGCGCATATGCATACAAATGTGCGTTCCGGAGTGGTCTTTGTGTAATACATTAGTCGCAGGCTAGCTTTATCTGCGGTAATATACTCACGTTTCTCCGCGTTCGACGTGAAGGACTCGCCAACGGCGTTGGCCTGCCGGTTCTGTTGATTGCCGAACATCAGCATCTCCTGCGCTCGTTTCGCTATGAAGATATAACACAATGCGATGCGTTGAAGACAAGCGTTGTATATGAGGAAAGAATAATCAGAGAGCTTTTTAACGTGGCATGAGGGAAGAATGCAATTATCCGCGGGGTCTTACATTTCGGCTTCATGGCTTGATCCGCTTTCTTCACGTCCTCCATCAGACTCGTAGGCAAGGACATGCCTATCGAGAGCAACGAGAACAGCAACAACAACCACGCCCAGTTGTGCGTCATCTGCGACAAAATTGCGGTATTTTCATTCCCGATGCGTGCCCGGATTCGACGCCGGTTTTAAGGATCAAAGGCTCGTGAGAGATATTCTTTTCGTGCGCGCGCACAAATTTCGTGCTTGTTTCACGTAACAATTGAAGCTAACGGGTCACTCACTGGGAGAGAGAGAGAGGGAGAGAGAGAGGAAGAAGAGCTTAAATGTCACATGATGTGAAATGTCATGAGTCTATTTCCACGCTGTGTGAAAGATTGACGAGGGTAAATCGTTCAATGAGGACTCATGTTGTTTTGCGGTTGCATAAAATGTTACGTCGAAAGAAAGAGAGAAAGAAAAAAAGAAAAAGAGAGAGAGAGAGAGAGAGAGAGATAGAGGTTGTCGGCGCGAGAAAGAAGGTTGTATAATCGACAATACAATTTCTCTAACTATGACGCTACCGCAGCTGACGACGTCACGGCATTATAATCGATGTGTGGTTTACTTTCTCTGACTATGACGCTACACAACTACATGACGTAGACATAAGAGTTCACAGTTGCTACGTCACAACGTTATAACTTGGAAAAGAGAGTTTTATCGGCCATTGATCACGCAGCGCGTAATGTGACATTCGTACGTAATTTTCGTACGTAATGTAGCGCAGAGTTGTAAGTAAAAATATGCCGTGGCGGACGGAGGGTGTTCCGAGATAAGTGAGATAATTCGTAAGGGGTTTTTGGAAAGTTTAGCCGACGAGTTTCAGCGCTACGTGAAATTTTCTCCGTTAAAGTTGTTTCGTGCTGCGATATTTAATTTTCTTTTTCATTGGAGAAACTAGCGGACATATATTGTGGAAGCATCATCTTCTCTCCAAGCGACAAGTTTTCGCATGACGGATCATCGAGTTTACGCCTAAATCGTTCTCAATTGGTTACTTGTTAACGAATTACGGGGGCCGCTTGAAAATTCGCAAGAGTAATTATGTGAACTCGAACGGTGATGCTGGAAACGGGGCTGCAGAGGGTAACGAGAGCGCGAGCTGTGCCGCCCCGAAATGTCAGGGTTCAAAATTGTGCACAGAACGAGATATATTTGCGCTACCGCGTATTTACAGTACTGCGACATACACTCGGTTATTGTGTTCCTCGCAATTCCTCGTAACGAATGGTTCGTGTTACGCAGCACGGACCACTTAATTGTATTTTCAGACGGCACGGGTAAATATCTTAACGCGGACTATTCAAACTTGGCAGTAGCGTTTTTACGAAGCATGCGGAAATTCAATTTACTATCATATTGCGTTATCGAAGTTTCATTCGTCGAGCATCGAAAATATTCGCGATATTTCCCCGATTTAATACCGAATTTAGACACTCCGTTTTACAGTACTGTGTATATATAAACACATCCATATAAATATTATTATACGCCTGTTTGTTTTATAATCGTAAATGCCGTTGTGCATATTTGCGGGTCGTTCTCTGAAACCACCGCCAAAATTAATTGATTCGGCGATAATTTCATTGTCGTCGAAGTGACAGGCATTCGATTAAACGGTCGGTGCTTGCGAATGCTCGGGAATTATATTCGATATTGACATCCGTTTATGTCCGAAATGAAAGGCAAAGTTTTGACAATTAAAGCGAGCAGTGCACATACGTCAAACCGGATATAGTAGACCTAGAAAACGTGCACTTGTTGCGTCTATAAATACTATAGTCATTTATCGGCGTGTTGTGTACGAGCTACAACACGGCTGAGCGAGTCGCAATTAAAAATGCATTTCATTGAACACGTCTTCATTGAGAAGTCAACTGCGTGTCCGACGTGTGAAACGCCACGCCCTCTTGTCGTGCAATTAATCTCAACTGGATAAAAATCAACGTTCGAATACCGTTGTTTCCGAGAGAACTCGGGAAACGACATAAATAAGTCACGTCGATTCCGGTGAGAACGGCGTGAGCGGTGCCGAGCGCTCCGAGCGAAAACGAGAAATATCGCCGAAGTACCGAGACGCGCTTAACATGACGATGTTTAATTCGAAACCGCGCGACTACCTGTATGAATGCGCCAAAAGTGGCCGGCGGTACATATAACGGGCGGTGTGAGTCCGTCCGTCCGTCCGCGAGAGACTCGAGAGTGTCGACGTTCGATTTCATCGGACCGTCGGGCAAAATGAAGCGCAGGAGCAAATATATGTACACGACGCGAATGTATCATCACCTTTCCAGTCGCAGCGACCGCCGGTTCGCCCTTCGCTCGATGTGCCGCTATTCGTCCCTTCGTTTTCCCTTCAACGGTCCCTCGGTGGTCCTTCTCGGCTGGCTACGAGCTGGAGAACGGGCACGTCCTAGCGGATCCGCCGGCTCGGGGTGGAATGAATGTCGGGGCTCGGCAGGACGAGTAGAAAAGCGACGGCGGGTACGGTCGATCAACCACCCCCACCTTGTGAACGAACATTCCCCATCTCGACTGGCTCGGTGAGCACCCTACGACGACGCTGTTGGCTGCGCGCGCGCTGCGTTTCCTCGCACACGATGCTGCGACGTCTGTGTAAGTACGTGCGTGCGTCTGTGTGTATGGTGGGCGCGAGCGAGCGTACGCACACACACACGCGTGTACATACACATGGTCTCTCTCTTTCTCCCTCCGTCTCTCTCGTCGTGGTATAAGGGATGCCTGCCCACGCGATGACCTAACTACATCTTGCCGACGTATCCTGACTTCCTAAAGTAGTAGCGTGAGAGCGGTAGGTGTGCGGTAAGGGACGATGTTGTTATTTCGCTGTCGACAGCCTGTCAGCCGGCGTTATCGGAGCTGGCACGGAGTTTGTGTTACATCTCGTAGCCGTTATCGGGTGTCATCGGTTTCGGATTCTTGACGGGACGCGTCCGGCATCTGCAATGACTCAGAACGATGAAACGATCTCGGAGAGATTTAAGTCCCGCCGCTCGCGAGTGGTGTCAGGCCTTCTAATAAATTTCACGCGATATCGCACACCGTCTCGTGTGAGGAATGTACGGGCTAGTTTTTTCCTCTCTTTTGCTTTCTCTGTAGTACAGGGTAACACGAGGACGGGATGTTCGCACGAGGCGGATAAGACCCCCTCGCAGTTTTACAATCCGATATTTCTGTAATCCGAACGGCACTTTTCTTCGATAAAGGCCACAGGTCCGTTTACGATCTCTCGTCTGACCCGTGATTGAAATCGAACACGGCGATCTACGTTACACAGTCCGTTGTTTCGCAGAACGGCGCGCGGAGCTACGCTTCAACGGGATCGAGAAGGAGTTACAAAGGAGTTGTAAGCGAGGTAGTTACCGGGCGCAACTATTTGCGTCAACGTCATCGGAAGCCACTCGCTCCGGCGTTTCTCGTTAGTAATTTCCTTCGCGCGGATTTACAGAGCTCGATTTTACGCGCGAAAATAACAGGAGAATCGAATCGGCGTGTTCGAACGCCTTCGCGATCCGGCGTTAAATTCAATTCAAGTGGCGAGAGGGATGAAGCGCAAAAAACCTGTCTCGCTATTGTTAACGCAGCTCGGTTGCATGAAACGTAGCAGAAACATATGCCCGGACTCTCTCTCTCTCTCTCTCTTTCTCTCTCTCTCTCTATCTATCTATCTATCTATCTATCTATCTATCTCCCTACCTCTGAAAGCATTAATAGAAAGTTAAAGCACCTTTACGGCATAGCAACCTCACTGCGTCATATGACGGCCGACTATGACGACTATGACGACGTTGCTCGGCTCTGTTTTTAATTTTAATGCGGCCGCTATGCAAACGTCATACGGATAGTTTTCTTTGGCATTTGAAACGGTGACGTTACAAACGTTCGTTTCAGTCCATGGCAAGAGCGCATAGCAGCGTATACTTGAAGAGTATAAAGGCGCGTGTATTTTCGCAGCCGGAACACACTACCTGACTGACTTCTCAGCCTCTATCTTCCCTTCTCATGTGTTCGCCTGCTCGATACGAACGCCTCAACAGTCACCGCTCCGACTTGCCGAAATTTCTCCGCTCGTGCTAACGTGGCGAAATTGCAGAATCGATCAATCCTAGTAGATACTTAGCTAACAGTAACATAGGATCAATGTTATAATTTCCCACTCAACAGCACAAAATGCGATATAACGCGTTAATAATGTATTATGTAATAGTTATATTGTTGGATGGAAACATTATAACATCGATGGTCGGTACACTGAGAAAAAGACTTAAAAATTATTTGTGAAATATACGGTTTATTTAAATAAAAATATAAATGTAAATAAAATATAATTTTATTCCTAGCAAATGAACCAATTAATAAGACAACTCAGATATATTTGCACAAAAATGCATATTCTATCGTCACGGTCAAATTTTTTTCTAATCAATAAATATCGAAGAAAATGTCGTGAGAAACATTTATTTCGCAAAATTTCAATTTCTTTTTCTCAGTGTGTTTACTGTACTGAGAAATCGATTTAATTGACTCGAACAAAATTCTTGTTTGTGGATATCGGCAACAGATGTTTTGATTGTGAGAACAAAAATTTGGTTCTCCGAATCAAAGGTTTCATTCATTCCCTGAAACAAAAATGAAAAAGGTTTGGTTCGGAGAACCAAATCAAATTTTGGTCCTCACAACCAAAACACTTGTTCGCCCGTGTCTAAACAAGAATTCCATTTAGGTCCACTAAATAGGTTTCTCCGTGTGGAATGTGATTCGCGCGCGGATGCTGGACAAGTCTAAGGTTTCACGTGACCAAGTCCGACGAGGACGTTCGACCGCTCGATTTCTTAATCTACACATCCTTCAGCCCTGTTTAGAAATTTTCCGGCGTTTCACGTGATTTACATCCACAGTTTCCCCACGATTTATATCTCGCAGGATACGAGCGATCAGTTACGTGGGGAAAATCCAGTGAAGCGACTTCCTCGCGAAGTCAGCGCCGCTCAACGACGCATATACGTTTCGCAGAGGGCACAAGGAGAAGAGATTCCGTGGCCTCCGGAGCCTTCGTTCGCTATTCATCCCCAATCACCTAACTTCAGCCCCCGCAACAGGCCGTACGCCCACGTGAGGACGTTACGCCCACGCGCGCGCGCTTTCCCTCCGTGCCCAGAATCGCGGCGAGATCGGCGGAGGGGCTCGAGAGGAGGGGATATTTTTTTTCTACGTCATCAGACCAAGGGGCTCGTGTCCTTCTCCTCCACATCACAGGGCGGTTTCCTATGCTTCGAGCAGATCGAACGGCACTTTCTCAGAGTTATTTTTACCAACGGAGAAATACGAGAATAATAAGAGTGACAAATATTTCAGACCGTGCGCTATTACGAGCACGCCTCGTATCGCTTTTACACAAATGAAGCCGCGGTTGGGCAAAATAGCCCGGCTATTATTTCCCTCTTTTCCGCGCGGTGCTGCGGAAAGCTCTTGGAATTCTTATTCTTAACAATCTCGAACCTCCTCCTTCCCCTGACTACGATATCATCTTCGATCGGACGCTTGAACGGAACTATAAGAATGTCTATGTTATGTGTGCAAAAAATCAAGAAGAAAAGGAGAACCCGGTACAAGAAGAGGCAATAGCCCGGAAATCGTTGCCTTATAAAAGGACATCTTGCGATAAAAGCGATTCTCGGAATACGTCTAACGTTCCCGTGGGTGACGTCGTCGCACTTAAGTAATATCACGTTCGATAACATCAACGGATGAGCACTCGTGTAGCAGCTCCTTGACGGGCGAAACGAAAACCGACGTGGAGAGGCTATAGCCTGGTGGGCTATTTTCGCGCATGTTGTAAATAATGTCTACCTCGAGGCGATATTCATCTGGACGATACACGTCGTATTATTCAGTGCGGCTCGATCTATGGGTAATTCAAATACCTCGGCGCGCGGAGGGCGAAGTAAACTCGCCCGTTTGGCGATCTTATTTCTGTCGTGATGTTCGTTCGTTGGATATAATAGCAAACGGCACAATTTCAGAAGGGGGGTGGAGGGGGGGAGATAAATCGAGCGAAGGAACTGCACGTCGAATTGATCAGCCGCGGCGGTCCGCCCTCGCGAACTAAAATCGCCCCCGCCGGATTCAACAGCCGCAATTTATCGCGGGCTATCGATCGTCATCGACGCAAATGACGGACGCAATGAATACTAATGGCCGAGGCCGGTTATCTCGTTCGTATCTGCCTAAAGCGCGGCGCGATCATGCCCACGCGATTCCCCCGGCGGAATCTCGAGCGACGATCGGAAAAGAACCGTTCCGGCGATACGGTATCTGCGCTATAACGAGTAGTCATCGCACCGTTATCAGGGCGGCTCTACTCTTCCAGGCCAAGTCGTTTACTTCGCCGCACAGTTAAGAACTACGGCGCGTCTCTCGGTGCTCCGCAATACCTATCTTCGCACCCTAATTGACCTATTTTCGTCGTCGTCGTCGTTGTCGTCGTCGCTGCTGCAACACGCTTGCGCAAATTGGCGCGCGTATCCAACTACAGGGACAGGTGCAGCCGGTGCTTCCGATAAATTATAGGAGTCCAGACGGGCTGTTTCAATCGCGGAGAAATAGGGACACGTGTTTACCACGACTGTGTCTTCCTTTACAGGTTGCGATCAAACAAAAGGACGTACCAAACGGGAAATCCAACTCCTGGTAGGGAAGGTTCGACAAACACAAGTGCGGAAACGCTTTCGTAAAGAGTTAAACGACTCCGCGTACGTTCATACCTTTTCATTAATGCCGTGTCATTTCTCGTAGGACGCGATGAAATTTAATGCCTAAACGATCCCAATCGGTCTGGTGTGTCCGTCAGGTAAAGCTCGTGAAAGCTCGTGAAATCGACAGGAAAGAGTGCTGGAAACGAGAATTGTAATAAGCTATTGATCGGCGACATTTTAATGAAGTTTTAAAGTGTTAATCAAATGTATTCGAAAATAACGTACGAATCGTCTCGAGTATGCATTTGCAAATATATCCGCATAAGCACTTACTATTTGTTATTTGCGAATACGTTTTAATTAAATTTTAATTAAATTTGCGACATATTAATGCAACGCGTGTCCTCTGCGACTCACTCGCTCTCTCTCTCTCTCTCTCTCTCTCTTTTTCTCTCATTAACGCTGTATCATTACAAGACGTATTCTCGTAACGACCTTAATCCTACAGTATAATAAACTTTCTCCCTTTTTTGCTCCCGCGTAAATAAATGATGCGCTCGGAGAATCTTATCGCTACCGCCACTTGCTCGCGATGATTTACGAGGCACGTTACTTTCGCATTCATGTCGGTTGGTTTTCCCTTCCTCCTGCTGGAAATACCAGCCGCAGATCGTTCGCGATACGCTACCGTTCATAAATTGAAGCTCAAAGAGCAAAAAAATGTCATGAATGAGAAACATGTGTTTAATGTAAACTCGCTCCTTATAAAGATCAAAATTAAATTATAAATACTAATTAAACCGCGACACGCAATTACATTTTATTCTCTGGCACAAGTCGAAAGCTACAAAAATATCAAAAAAGATCGCAGATGGTACTCTGCAACTTGGATTCCTTTTCTGTGAATTTTGACGAAAGAGAGAATGTTTCCCCTCGGCGATATTCATTTCCTTGGTACAGCTACGGGTAAGAGCGAGTCAAGTATTTCCAGCGCGGAGGAATGTCTGTTATTTTCTTTTTATTACTCGCGCCGCTCTTCATTCTTGTCAGGCTCGCACGGCTGGCGCCGGATGATAAAGTCCGACGAAAAAAGAAAACAGATAGCACGCGATACCGGCGAAATTTCCGGCTTACGTCACACCCACGCCTTTTCTACGAAGAGGGAAAGCTGGTGCTTTTCGCCTCCTCTGCTGCGCGACGGTCGATCCGGCTGGTCGAGGGAGATCGCGAGGGTTTCGTAAAATCGCGTAAGCTCGTCGTAGGCCGACTCCCATTGACGTCAGTCTGCGAGTCCGCGAAGTGGCGAATCCCCGTGGCACCCCGCGAACCAGTAGAGGGGGACGATGAAGGGGCGGCCGTCCTGTGACAGGGCGAGAATTCAGTGACGTCATGCTACTCGTGTCTCCTGTCTTCTGGAAGATCTGTTTGCTCGTATTATATCCACAAGCAGATTAGAGAGCGCTCGTTGATCTCGATCGAGTGTCAAGCCAGACGACACGTGTACGCTGTCCAGTGGCTTCGACGAGTACCGAAAGTAAACAGGCTCTTCGTTATTGTAAGTAGGTAGGTCGGACTGAATATACCTGAAGGATAAAGTAATTTTCTACAAATCGGCTAATATAAATACAAATTACAAAGAGCATCCTTCTCATAAAGTGAATGTGGAATAATGTCGCGAATTAATACCGGGCCATCAATGGAAAGGGTAAGTTGGAACTAGAACGTAGATGTAAGTGCGCAAAGATCGAGGTCAACAATAATCGGAGAACGTCAAACGTTTCTACCACCGTTCGAGTGGTGTTCTTTGCGCGTTTACATTTACGTTTCAGTACTGACTGATCCTTCTTTTTTTCAAAAAGATCTAATTATTACGTTACAAGGAAGATCGTATAACCGGTGTCATGCAATTTATCGGACACGTTTATGAATGAAAGATTATACGTTCTTCAAGTGAACGCTCAAGTGGCAAGTATAAGTTACAGTCATTAAAGGAGACACACAAATCGATAATGGTGTTGCGCGTATTACGTCGTCTGGGTGAAATTAGTTTATGCATTTGCGAATTAATAGCGCGATCGAGCGTTTTAATGGCCCTGACGTGGCATTGAGTCGCCAGGGTCTTGTTACAATCCTGTACAACGTGAAATGTAATGAGTTCGTGGAAGGGGGCGTCCCGAAGGAACGGATCGATGTTCCCACTGCGTAGTAAAGGACGCCTGTTGATATGAAACAGGAGCAGTTTCATTCATGAAAACGGCGAAACGTGGCTTCTCGTCGCGGCGCTCTGCAACACGCGTGTGGACGTCTGCGACGTTATTTCGATGCAAATGTATTTTTATTGGCCTCGCCGGAATGCAAATTCCTGCGCATTCGCATGCAGCACTCGCAACGACGTCTTGCATTTCCCGGATGGAAAAAGCCTTCATATCCTGCCCCAACTTCTGGAATGTGCACAATCTCGTTAGCTGATTTAGCATTTCGCGTAATAAAGTAGAACAGAAAGAGAGAAAGAAAGAATAAGTAAAAACTTCCTTCTGTATACGCATGATTGGTTCGTATAATGAGCTATGCTACTTTTTTATATTTTTTGTGCGGACGATAAAAGAATAAAGCAAAAATTTCTCTCTGTATATGCATGAGTGGTTTGTATAATGAGCAATGTTGCTTTTTGTATTTTTTGTGCAGACCATAACAAAAGAATAAACAAAAATCTCTCTTTGTATATGCATTGCTTCGTATAATGAGCTATGTTGCTTTTTATGTTTTTTATGCAGACGGTAACAAAATTCCTTTCGTATATATCTAACGTCTTATTTATATGATGTACTAAATAGCATTCAAAGACACAGAAATTCTTGTTATCTTTATGCAACGTATATAATGATCACACTTATTTTAGGAAATTAATGCAATTAGCACACATTATTTTTATTCGTTCGCAAGAAGTTATTGTTCGTGGTAATAACCAAGTCATACCACAATTAATCCGTTATGTTGTTGATCGCGTGCTTTCTGAAGATATTCAGATACCTCCAGACAAAACGAATTTCTAAAAGACTGTTTAAAGACGTTTTGGGAAATATCTAAAAATAATAAAATATCTTTTGAATGTCTTTAAGACATCTTTTAATAATTTGTTCTGCCTGGGTGTAATCTCGAGTATCCGTTGAATTTCAAATACCTTCTGAAAAGTGAATACCGAGGGGGAAGTATGTACCGACTGAGAAATTTCCTAACCTTTCTTTATCGATCTGACTGAATTAAGTGCTTTCAAGTGAGTTGTACTGATTGACATATTCGCATGTCATGATGCGCATCTGACAGTTAACAGCTGCACGGCACAAAAAACGTCAAAAGTTAATAAAAAATTGTACAACATTGAACGGACCAGTTAAAAGACATTTGTGGATTTTGTTGAATATCTCGTTAGGCGCGTCGACCCCAAAGTGTCTAACTTCAGGTATGTAAGTATATATGTCGTTGAATGTACATATGTATGTGTTGAATATTTGTAATCTTACCTTGATTTGGATGGTAAACACAGGTCGCGTTGTTTAGAATATTTTCCAGTCGTAAAGGTACTTTTACTCCGAGTGTATTCTGTCTACACTTTTCAGCATACGGATTCGGCAATTCACGATTATTGAGGATCGTTTTTGGTGTTAAGTTATTGGTTTTTTTTTTTGTTTTGATCAGACGTCCGTGTTTCGGGTGGTTTCGGGCTAACCATCACGTGCCGAAGCTGTTTGGAAAATTAATATCTGGTCGGGATACTGTTAATAATCAAAATTACGGCGCAGGACAACACAAATTCTCAGAGAACAATGAGCTTCCCTGAGAAACAAGACAGCATATCCAAGGATGAGTGGGTGGCGAGACTGGAAGAGGGATTTCATATGCAACGAGTATCAATGAATAATTTAATCATGAATTATCTTGTGACAGGTAAACCCTAACTTCTATCGCTTAATCTAAGTCTTAAGAATCATATCGCTCAAGTATAATGAGTGGACGTTACATCATACAGAAGGATTCAAGGAAGCTGCTGAGAAATTCCAACAAGAATCTGGAGTGGGTCCTACTGTAGAATTGAGTTCTCTGGACGATAGAATTCGCATCAGAGATGCTATACAAAATGGTCGTATTCAGGAAGCTACAGATTTGGTGAATCAGTTGCATCCTGAACTGTTGGATAACGACAGATATCTTTATTTCCACCTGCAACAACTGCATCTGATTGAATTGATTCGTACAGGTAGAATTGAAGAGGCTCTTCAGTTCGCTCAGGATAAGCTGAGCGAAGCTGGAGAGTCGGATGATAATATATTGTGTGAGCTAGAACGTACTTTGGCACTATTGGCTTTTGATGAACCACACAAAAGTCCGTTTAGCGATCTTTTACATCCTACACATAGACAAAAAGTGAGTGAACGTTCAATGTTACTTTTTTAATGTCAATTTCTCCAATTTCTCTTATTTCTTTCTCTTTAACTTTTACTTACCGTGTAATTGCAGATAGCAAGTGAGTTGAATGCTGCTATATTGAAAATGGAGCACAGAGAATCAACCAGCCCTCGACTCAATAATCTACTGAAGATGATACTGTGGGCTCAAGATGAATTAGATAAGAAGAAAGTAAAATATCCTAAGATGACTGATTTAGGTAGTGCTACAATTGAGAATACGAAATAATTTTCCGATAATTGGTGATTGGAGCTGGCATTATGTTGAACTTCTTTATAAGATAAAGCGAACATGTGATTGTATTATCAGTGTTTCGCATGCGAGAGCAGTAGAGAGAGAATCTGAGATCAACTCTGAAAAGTAATTTTGCATAAATAGGTGTTCGTAGAATTGTTTAAATTTTCATCTTATATCATGACTTTAGAGGATATAACTATTACTAATACACTAATTATTACAATAATAATGTAACCGCAATGTTATGGTTACAATGGACACGTTATCGTTATTACTCTAAGAAAAGTCCAAGTTATTATTGCAATATTTCTCATCCATTTTTGCGAGGTTCAACGGTAGCAAAGTAGGAAAAGTTTATAAAATATCTTCAAGTTTTTACACGATTAACATAAAGTATGCTAGTAATAATATATATATATATATGTATAATGTAGAATAGAAGATATATTCAGTCGAGATGTCTTTGACTTTGTCCCATACAATCATGAAAATATATAAACTGTGTTACAACATGTGATAATAATATATTTCGAAAGGATTAACTCTAAAGACATTCCGTATTCATATTGTACATCAAATACTTGAAGTATTTAAGACATTTATCTCCTTGTTGACACACAGGGCGGCAGAAAAATTGTATGCTTACTCTAGTTAAAAATCACATTGATCATTTTTCGTATTTTCTTTTCTTATACAATTTTTTAAGTTTTGCGAAAGATGTAAGATTCGGTATAATCAGATTACCAGCCGAACATATATTCCATTGCTTTCGATACTAAACCGGCCGACTTTTGTGGCACGTTCTCTGGCGATTGCGCTGTTTGCGGGCTAAAATGTTGATTGTAACCCGCTGCCAAAGACCTCAGCTTTCGTCGTCTGCCGGGCGACACGTTGAAATTCGGAGACTGACTACCCTTCGCAACCGACGAGAACGACCTTATGCTGCCGTTCAGCTTAGCGCGATTCTCTTTGTCCGAGCTCATAACAACACCTTCGTCCGTGCACGGTATCACACCAATCATGATCGAGCCCGAAACGATGCTGCCGTTGCACGTGAGAGCTCTTTGTGCTTCTTGCTCCGACGCGCACTTCAGATGCACCCAATTACTCTGTGGTTGTGGAGGTGGGTGTTTATCCACTATCCGAACTCTGCTGGAGATGTGAGACAGCACAGCGTTAATATCGGTTGGCAGAAAACCAAAGACAGTCACCCACTGCAGCAGACCCTGGGATTCACTTGTGTTTGAAGTTACTGGACTGTCTGGGAAAAGTATAGGACTGCATATAGTGTTCATCATGAGCTTTGATTGATTGGCTTGCGTGGACGTGACGTTGGAATTCATAGTTGATGTATACGAAGAAGACAGTTGAGAAGTTTCGAGAACATCGAACAGTCCACGAGTTGGGGGTCCTCCAGTATGATTCTTTGTATTCATCTGTGGTGTACTGGGAGATGTAGTGTTTCCAAATACTGCCTTCTGACGATTGGACCGGTAATCTGGAGTTCCATATGAAATCGGCGATATTAGACTAGCACTGGTGATATTCAAGTGTCGAGGATTATCCTGAGGTGTCATGATCTTCGTAGGCTGTAATGTCACAAACAGGAATTAGCAAAATATGCACTGTACATCTAAAAATTTGAACGCAAAATTATATATTCTTACGGTATTAGTATCACCCAAGAGGAAACTTGGCAAATACGCCGAGGAGCTTCCTGGACTACCAGGGATTTGTATAGGACTGCCTATCGGTGATCCCAAAGACATGGGCTCCATCTGATGAAAAGATTGCAAAAAATGAAACATTTTGACATAATGACATGAATAAGATTCTTGCTTAGTGTGGAAAATCATCGAGTGAGCAACGGTTAACTAACAAAGAATAGAATGAAAGATGACCTGACATGAACTTTTTAGGTTATCGGTGGCGTTTTAAAAGACTACGGTGGATGCAATTAAATTATCTGAGATGTGACATATTCGAATTACTTACGTTTTTCGCTTGATTTTTATCCAAAAATTTTTTGCTCTCGGAACAACTTTCTAAACGCTACGGTAAATAATAGTGATCACCAAGCAAATATCACACCATTTGCCAATATTCGAACAAAGTTTAAACGCAAGATGGCTCTGATGGTCACTCTCGGGATAACGTGGACCGCTCTGCGAGCAAGCCGAATCGAAAGAGTGTCACGTGATTATATTTAAAATGTTTAACGTTCCTCTTATTATTTTCATTAAAAGATGATAAAAAGATAATTACCTATTATATTGGCGAAATGTTATCAAAGATTGACGATTTTGCAGTTTTATCATCCGAATGTGAAAAATAGTATTTTGTAAAGTTAATACTGGATTCTGGGTCAACTCGAAAGTACCGAGTGAAGTTGCGCGGTTACTTCGAGATTCTCAATCGTTTCGATACGAGTCAGTTGTATAACGGTTCTGGACGCGTACGTGCAGGTTCTTACGGAGCGGTGATAGTTTCGCGAAAGATTTCGGAAAGTGCGCGCGTTATCGTACAGGAAATAACGGGAGAGTGGCACGGAAAGTCCCGAGAGAAGAATGCACGTTTTCATAATAGTCGCAAGGTATGAGCGGATTCACAAAGAGGTGAGACAACAACTTCCCCTACCGGGCATTATAATAGTGAATAATTTTAATAACGATGAAAATTATATACATATTTACAGGTATGTAAACACTTATTTGTAATATGACACATATTAATGATAGATGTGTGCGAATCGAGTAACTCTGAGGCAAACGGACCTAGGAGGCAAACAGTAAGCTCGTCTAACCTCTTTCGCTTCCCTCCCCCCCCCCCTCTTCCTCATTTAGTTGGCAATTCATTGTTGATGTATATGTTCCAGTAAAATTAACAGTAACATAACATCAATGTTATAATTTCTCACTCAACGATGTAATTGTTATATAACACACGCGTTATATTACTTTTACATTGTTGAATAGGAAATTATAACATTGATATTACTCTAGGTAATAATTAGTTTCATATGCGTTCTTTAAATGTATATAATATATTTAATATGAAATAAATTAATATTAAGTTTAATATGAAGCTAATACATGCTACCTAAGACGTTACTGTTTGCAGTGCCATTACAATATTTAAAAGTATGCACGATTCGTTTGGCGTAGCCTCGAATATGAGACTGATTCGGGAAATGATCTCAAGGCTGTCCGTTTGCTTCAGAACTACTTAACTTGATATCGAGTACCTCGCGGATCAGGTCGAGAGTGAATATTTCGAAAGTTCAGCTCGTGACACAGGTACGTGCTCATATCCGAAATTTCGAAACTCGATCCCGGGGGAAGAATGTCCACTCGACGGCACTCGGCTCGAGATTTTCGGACAGCCGCGCGTCGCTAATTAAGGGCCTTATCGTAATACTTCGTATGAATCCCCATCTCGTTTATAACACGTTAACGGATACGACGCGACGCGTCAACGTTGTTGCGCGACCCTCGAATTCGTGTCTTACTAACGCTCGGAATCGTCATGCAAAATACTTCGTCTGAGCGTCTACATACGAAAAATATATCGGAAGGATCTATTCTTGAGCGTACCGAGATGCCTGTGTGCTTACATGCTTGCTCCGAGAAACATAATAAACGCCGGTGCGCCGTGGACCCGCGTTTCACAACCCCGGAAAGAGCTCGCAGGGTTCTGACTTTTACCCCTCTCTTTCCCCACTGCGAAATATATATTTCGCGAAATGAGATTACAACGGAAAGTTTCCCGCGATGTCCTCAGACCGGAAACGGAGATTACGTTTTTACGCTCGTCTTACATCGTTCGGGAACTCGTGCGAAAATCCATGAAAAACAAATTCACTAAAAAGAGGAAGATATACTTTAGAGAAACCAATGTTCTTTCCCCTTCTCCTTATACCTACGGTGGAACATATCTCTGCTTTATACTTTACGACGGGGAAGTTATAAAAGTATCTTTATCGACGGGCCATCAACAATCTCTTATCTCTCTCGCTTCTGTTATTCAACTGACAAATAAGTTCCGTCGGATTTATCTCCGGCGAGACAGAAACAGAGAGAAAAAGAGAGAGAGAGAGGCAGAGAGGTTCGTTGGAAAATCTGCCCGTTTAAACGTGCGCACACGGAGAAGCAGGATGCCGGGTTGCTCGCGCTTCTCTCGCATCGAGGTCGCTCGATTTCGGACGTATTTTTAGAGCTCCGCTCTTTCCAGGGTAACCTGCGCGTCATCGAGCGCCAAAAAATCATCCTTTCAGATATGTGTCGATTTTCCTGCGAGCGAGCGAGCAAGCGAGCGAACGACGGATCCTTCCTACCTCACAAGGGAAGTACACCATTTGTCGCATCGCCACGAACGAAAATTCCGCCCGGTGTTCACGGCCGTGTGTTTTCCACGCCGGTAAAACGCCACGCCGAGAGCACACGTCGCGCCTTTCGTCACGTCCGAGAGAGGCTCGGGATATTGTATCGAGCAGTGGCACGCTAATATCGCGAAATAGAAAAAGTGCGTACGCCATTCTTTCTATTGTTCCTTTCACGTCGCGCAATTTTTGCATCGAGATACTATCGCGTCCTACGAGCTTCGATCCGTGTAATACGAGTTTCAATCACACAATAACAATTTTTTTGTTACGCTTTTTTATCCTTTTTCATGTAAGGCAATAACACACACACACACACATAACACATGCGTCATAGCGCACCATTCGAATATGGGATACGGTCACAACGGCGCTCAGTTTTTAGTTCAAAATATGCTACGGCGCCGAAATACATCGGCGTGTAATTGCGTATCGATCGCGCCTATGTTTGATAACGCGCGAATTGCCGATGGTGATTTTCCGGTCTTTGTGCTACTTTCACATACTTTCATGCACGTGCAGATCTCTTTTTTTCGCGATTAGGGCTTAGCTTGTTAGGCGGAAGAGGTACGATAAAACTATCTCGAATCGATGTGGCGACGGATAAAATGACCTTAATAGTGCTCGACGGATAGCCTTATGCCGCAATGCACTAAGCGGGTAAAACTCTATCCCGAGTTATTATCCAATAAAGTTAGCGAGGAGCACGTTATCGGCTATACAGGGTGACTCATCGGCCGTTAGATAAAATTTCAACGATGTTCCTCTCTCCGTAAAGAAACACCGAGCCCAAATTCGTCCAAGAATCTATCTAAGGTCTTATTTACAGGACGCTTTGTATACTGTATAACAGAAAGTAGTATTATTGTTTTAAAGAGCTCTGGACTTCTCTTTCAAAGTTCCTTGATTCACGACGATAATTTAATTCTACAAATTTTACATTTAGAATGTCTCGCGATTCGTAACTCCAATTTTAACGTACAGATTCTATAGACAATCGAAAGATCCCCCCTCAATGAAAATATCGCGAATAACTGAAACTTTACAGTGTTCAGTATTACGTATTTTTGTAACTAATAATTAAAATAAAAATTAGAATTCTATGCATCGTAAACATTTTTGCGTAAATAACGGTCCACTGAAATCCTTGTTGAAATTGTTACTTTAACATGGAAATATATTGAAAAGTACACAAATATCTGTTAAATTAACATATTCACTTTATTAATACATTATTTTTTTAATATTCATTATTTTGGTAAAGTAACATAAAAATTTCAGTGGACCGTTACTTACGCAAAATTGTTTACTCTGTAAAAATAAAATTTATGTAAAATTAACCGAAAAACGCAATTTTGCTAATCGCTTGTCCCTTTGAAACCCAATTTGCGCAAAGTCTCTCTCTAAATTTATTACATCATAACTGGGAAACCGCATAGATTCCTCAATATTTTCGTCGAAGAAGAGACACTTGGGATAAGTCTCAGGAATTCACCGTTGAAATTGAGCCTGCGAATCGCGGTCCATCTGTTACACCCAACGCGAATTCGTTAGAGTATCGATATCGCGTTGTTCGACGCGCGCTACTGCGCTAATATCTGATGTAGTTCCCTTGTGACTGCGTCTGAGGAAAAACACCGATTGAAGCGGCGGTTATCGATGTTGCCCGATGTGGCACGGAATTACGTGCGTTATTGTTAATTACGGTGATGCGCCGTGGACGAGCCTAAGTGGTAGTCCGTGTTCCTCGTAGGCTCGTAGGCGCGCGCGACGATTTCGATATTGATCGAAAATACGATAGTAATTCCACACGCGTGACATATATCCGATATGAGATTACGCTATATGCCTTACAATTAGTCAGAAGAGGGACGACAGCGACCCGATTAAGCGTTTCATGATGGTATCGAGTGGGACAACTCAACCGCGTTGCAATGCGCGAACCAACCTGTGACCTACCGCGCGATCATTTTGTCACAACGAAAGGGTCGTTGTATAAAAGACGCACGAGTAGCGAGCCGGTTGTTGTGTCGCGCGATGTCGCGTACATACGGCGTCCCATCGACGCCTTCCTGTTCCGATTTCAGCATTTCCGAGCGCATCGCGCGTTTAAACGTTCGCGCGTCGTGACTTGAAACGGAAATCTGGCGATTCGACGACTGTAAAAGTGTTTACACGTAAGATCAAGGGATGAATAAATAATGAAGGAGAATGTGGTATTGTGCCTCCCCTCTCCCCCATTTAAATTTTGTACAATAATCAATATTTTAAATTCGGCAATTACGTTCGTCAAAGTGTTGTTTAATCGATTCTAGGCTCAAAGTTATGAAATATTTATTACGAAAAAAAGTTTGGTTGTATTAACCAAAAATAAAAACAACCAGATGTATTTTTGTTGAAGGAAACAGAATTTCTGGTTATAAGAACCACATTTGGGTCATAAGAATTAAAAATTCTGTTTCCTTCAGAACACAGGTAGTCGTTTTCCCTCTCTGGTTAATGCAACCAGAATTTTTTTCCGTGTACTTCTACATGAAAACCTCGGAAAACAGGTTGTATTAAGTCTATTTTAGTGGAGGGTCAAATTAGCAAATTGTTATACTATTGTTTAACTTTACATAACTCGAAATGTATAGTAGAGTGAGATATTAAATAACAAACAAAACACTCAAGTGTATACACATTAGAATGATAATACGCTCAAGTATAAAGAATAAAGTAATTAAATGCTAAAATATAATGTTGAAAACGTTTCGAAATGCTCGAAAATAAAAATGTGTTATAATAAACGCCGACTATTGCGTATTGGCATATTAGCGTCACTGCATAACGGCTGGTTCTTAAAGAAATGATTCCATAAGTAATCGCTAGAATAATTGCCTAATAGTGAGAATATTAAGGGATGAGCCATAATACCACATTTTCCCCTACGGGTTGTATTGAATTAGCTGATAAAAAGGTAATTTTCGATTTTTCACTCGATAACCACTTGATATGCCAGAAGTCGGTACTGGAAGCTATCGGTGATTCCGAATATACAGGGAGGCATAATAATAACGTTCGACGAAGAATCGGCATGCAAATACTTTTCTCAGACATTCTTCGTCTCCTGAATAGACATGTCGCTGAATCTTCAAAGAGAATATCATTATATCTCATATTAAATATTATATTGATCTCTCTTTCTGTATGACGACAAAAGTAAGCAATGCATGCTGCTTCCTTAGCGGCATTCGACACAAAGTTATCTTTACCGACTGCGATACGCTAGAAATTAAAGACAGGAAGAAATACCCGCAGGATAACACGGGCAAACGCAACATCCAAAAAGACGATAAAAGCAGAAACGAAGAGGATCAAACGCTATTAATACCTCCCGCAAGAAATAGACAAACCGAAGTGAATCAGAACGAATCGATTACCGTCAAATCCTCCGAGTGTCGGGGATTAGAAATTCATAATTTCGCGAAAAAGATTCTCACGAAACTCTCTGGACTTGTCCCAATTACTCGCCATTGCTCGCACAACTCGTTCATTGTCTATATATATATATATATAAAGAAATCGCTCGCGACACCGCTTTCGACTAACGTTGAAACTCCGCTTTGTACGAAAAAAAGGGGGAAACGCGGAGCGGGGGAGGCGGGAAAATGGATACAGGGGGTGGACGTGATACAGCGATGCGGATGAAAGCACGTTTACGGGAGAGAGAGAGAGATCATCGTCCACCCGCGAAGAGATCGTCATCCGGTGGCCACGGGGGTGCGACCGCAGGATAAGTAAATGATATGTCGAATAGAAAACCTTTTTGTAAAAATCGTAGTAAGAATAACATCGACGTATCTCGAAAGCGTTTACAAAAGACGGCACCGGCCGTCTTCCACGACGTTCCTCGCTAGGGAAGGTTTGGACGATCTAAACGAACGACGCGCGGGAAGTCGGGTCGGCTTTCCTGCGTGATTGTGCGCGATCCGTCGATTTCGACCGATCGGCCGTCGATCGGTCGATCGTCTGCTCCGCGCGTGCACGAGGATACATTTAGTGCCTGGAGCGCACGTGTTCGACCGTACGCCGACGACGCGTAAATGGACGTACACTTATTATATGTCGTATCGGTATGGTGTTATTTACGGTTACGCGGATTAGGTGTTTAGTAATAGATATAGGGTGAAACCGATCCTAACGTTTAGTTATAATTGGGAAGCAATGTGAAAAAAACCTAAGGTTCGCTCGTCGTTATTATCGCGCGATCGTTGTGATCAGGACGACGGCGGCGACGACGACGAGGCGGGTCGTCCGTTGGACTGCGGCTTCTGCGGATCCTGAAACATTCATAACGGATACACTTAGTTCCTTCCTCTTTCCCGTCGGGCACTTTGATACGCGAGTTCGCCTTCGTTCGCCGAAACTCAAGTGTCCGGATTCAGATGAAACTCGCGGCCCGCGTACTTTCTCCGTCGATACTGAAAAATTAAATCCCGCTCGCTCGCTTAATATTCCAAGAATATCGAACATCGGGGAAAATTTTACTCCTTTTCATTTTCTTCGGCAACGTATACATTATGCATGCACATCGGGCATGTTTGCGAGTTTCGTAGTTGCAGGATACAGAAAGCCGGTCGACGGCGCGCTCGCGCCATTATAGCCACCCGAGCCGGATAGGCTAAAGAGACTCGCAGAGGATTGTAGCGAATTTGCGATGTGCATCCCTTTAAACGGCTAATTCGGACGCCGAACTATATCCCACGTATTCATTTCGCTGCCTCGAGCCTCGTTCTTGCCGTAATTTAGCCGGGATTTGAATACAGTGTGGCTGTAATTAATCAGTTTTTATTGCGGGACCCGGGGCGATAGCACTATCGCGGATTAAAGCATCGAGTAATTAGTTCCCGTTGTGATTAATGCCGAATGTACGCTCACGGGGATTCGTTTTAATACTTAGGGGGCTTTAATCCTCATACTCGGGAGAGCAGAGGAGAGCACGGGGTAGGCAACATTCCTCATTACTCGCCGGCGGCCGAGAGCTTTCCGAAGCGCGCGGGGCGCGAATTTTCGCCGGTCATAACGCGACGAGTAACGGCGATTTTCGGAATACCGCGCCCGAAACAAACGCGAATATTCGCGCGAACGGCGATTCGTGTTTGAATATTCGCCGTCGAAAAACATACTGAAAATATGTGTATTTACAATCGGTTTAGATCGGCGAAATGTATTCCCGGTGCGAAGCGAAAATTACTTTAATACGGTCGCGCACACACGCGCGCCACGTATGCACAGGCTAATACACGCGGCGAAATTACCCGCCGATAACTTCCGGTCGGTGTAAGCTCGCAAAAAATTGTGGGTCGCGCGCGCGGGAGGAAAAAGGAATAAACGAAACACATATCGTAATATTTTATAATCTCGGCGCTCTCGCGGCGCGATTGCTCCCGCCCTTCGGTGTATCAAATCCGACAGCGGATTAATCTAGCGAGCGCGAAGTATTATAATCGGAATTCATAACTCGGTGTGTGCGCGAGCGCGGCTGACCTAAGTGAATTTTTCATCGACCGCGGCCCCGCTTGAAATCGGTGATACGCCGCGATTACGGGGCCGCGTATTCCCCGATACGTACGTCGCGGAGGCTGCGCCAGTAGAGGAGAATCTAAATCGCGCGCGCGCGATCGTGTTATGAAAACTTGGCAAGATATATGGAGTTACCGCAGCGGGGAGAGAGAAGAAGATAACTTTCCACCTGAACGTGGCGCTCTCGACTCGCCTGCGAGAATTAACCAGCCGATACACTTGGGAGAGACTTACGTGCGGACCGGGAAGAGAATTCCGTTAACTTATCAATAACGAGCGTCGAGCTGCGAGTGCGCCTCGACCGTTCGAACTCGCATCACGCGTAACTCGGTCGGGAACGAGGTAAAAGTTCAATTCCGCATCGGAGGGTTCATCGATTAGGGGCGGTAGGGCAGGTATGCAGGCAAGTAGAGACGAGCACTCAGGCGGACTCGGGGCAAGAAAGTAACGTGGGGGGGAGCTGATCGTAGCTTACCGTTCGCCAGGTCCTCGCGAGTGTGACTCTGCGCCCGGGTCTCGCGGCTCTCCATCACGGGCGTCTTCAGAACGCTCTCGTCGCCCTCCACGCTCTCCTCGTTGCTCTGCAGATAGACCGTGGCTATTGTGGCCAAGCACTTTAGTTTCATGTCGCCCCGCCTGAAGTGCTTGTTCGCAACGCGGAACTCCAGACCGAGCACCGCGGTCTCCAAACAGTTCTCGTCGACTGCGATAACGTTGGGTCCTATCAGGTAGTCCGTGTCGGCCTGAAAGCGTCGGCGACGGCGAGCCTCGTAAAAAGCGTTGTTAACGGAACCGGGACAATCCGCGTGGCGATAATGAGGGGCGGAGAGGAACGGCGAGAGAGCTAGAATGGATGAATGGTTGAGTGGGCGGATGAATGGCTGGGTAGGTGGGTGGTGAATAGGTGAAAGGGGTGCGAGCAATTAGGTAGATTTTATTCGGGATGCAGATCCGTGCGCGACACGGATTACGCATCGACGATTCCAATTTGGCGAGCGCGCGCGCGCGAGACACAGAGAGAGAGAGAGAGAGACGAAAAGAGCGGATGCGCGCGATTCCTCGTAGAACGCGATTTGAAAATAATTAAGGACGACGGATCGCGCCGCTGCCCGATCCCCAATGCAAATTTTTCGCCAAGCCAATTACGCGAGATTGCGTTATAAGCACCGGAGCAAGATTCTAATTATTGCGCGATAACGATAATAACATTCATCAGCGACGCTGTGAGAAGAGATAAAATTATTCTAAAGTTAATCTGTAATTCGGTTAAACTTTGCGCCGCTGCGGAAAATTTCGCCGGGATGTAACGCGGTAACGAATTTTTCGAAGGAGAAAGAGAGAGAGAGAGAGAGAAAGAGAGAAGGAACGAAGGGAAAACTCCGTCGTGAACATTAACTCTATACAAATGGGAATAAATGGAAAATACATAAACGTCAAGCCGATTTAAAATCGACACCCGATATTGATACGAGACGACCGACCTTTCACCTATAATTGGTGCGCTCGGGAATATACTCGTATATCATCGGGTTATATATTTTAGCAAAACAAATTTTAAATTAGAGCATTACGCTGACGTATTTTTCGAAATTAACGCGGATGGACACACACGCCGACGCGCTTGCGTCTTTATAATGAAAACAGAGCGGAACGAAGCTCTGATTTATTTAGCAAATTGCATATACCGCAACACTCCGGTTGCGCTTTCTCTTTCGCCTCCCCCTCCCCCCCCCCTCTGTCTTTCTCTCTTTTTCTCTCGCGTCTCGACAAAATACTACACATTTCATCGCGCTACCGCGCCGGCGAAAAGTTTAGCGAAGCGTGAAACAAAGGTTGCAATTATTTCGCCGACGGTTTAAGTGTCTCACTTACCGGCTCGTCGTTGATGAACCAGGACAACAGCGCAGCTGGTTTAGAAGGTGCCGACGTGCAGTCCATGCGAACGACATCGCCCACCTGATACTTGGAACGGCCACCGGTTATCTGCGGTCCTTCGTTAGGTAGAACTGAAACGTTGCCATGACCCTTTCTAGTGCTATTGTCGTTCTCTCGGATTAGATCCCCCTTATCTTACCGCGCGCATTTACTGCACGTATTCATTTATCCGGTTTTACCTCCTCGCGCGAATTTTACTGAAATAACCGTCGCCGTGCACTGACCGTCCGCGTTAGAAAAAGTGAATGCTCTCCCTGTTTATTTACACTTCGTATTGCATCCTCTTTTCCTCTCGTCTGAATTTCGATTTCCGCGCTTATCGGTAACGCTCATCTAAACGCTCTATTACGATATTCAAATAGACATGCATAAATAAATAAATAAATAAATAAATAAATAAATTTATATAAAAAGGCTATTTCCGGCGTAACTTTACGATGCGACAGGCGATAGCCGTAACGAGTTACGTTCGCTCTCTTTTATTTTTCGGAATAATACTCACCGACCACAATCATGTCCGCGTGATCAGAGACGGTCTGAAAGGCGGGAGCCTCGGCCGATACCTCGCATCGATATCTCCCCGAGCTCGTGAGATTCACGTTGTTCAGGACGACCGAACTCTCGGTGGAATCGTGCGTCTGAATGCAAATTCGTGATTACAAGCCGCTGCCCGATCGAGCGCGAAGTAGAGTCTGCGCGGTGCTCGGTGGCGTACCAATTCTCCGATTTCTATCAGATTCGAACCGAAACCTCTTTGCCGTGAGAGGAGAGCGCGCGTCTTCAACCTCTCGCCTTTCGAGTATCGCGCGACTCCACTCGTTGTTAATTCCTAAAGATTTACGAGGCGGAACGTTGCAATCTCAAACAAGAGATATTTTCTTCATCCGTTCTCCGATAACGTTAATATTCCAACAACTAATCTCTGTATCATTTTCTCTCCTTCATCCTCTCTTATTGTCTTTTTTTAGAAAATCGTTTTTCTGAAAGAAACTAAGAGAAATGGGGCCTCCGAGGGTGAGGGTAATTTGTCAGATAATTAAGATAAACGCTCGAATTTGGTGTGCGCCGTCCGCCTTGCGGAAGGAAGGATAACCGATTCCCCTCGCTGTCACGGCGGCGAAAGGTCACGATATTTCCGCGTCGTTCCGAGCTTACCCCCGGCAAGTCCTGGCAACTCACGTTCACGTTCGCACCGGGCACCGGGAATGTCAGCACCGTGGGCGCGTCTCTCGGCACATAGCGATAAAATTCGTGGCCGTCCTTGTACCACTTCACCGAGTACAATAGCTCTTTGTCCAGGTTGAAGTTGCACTGCATGCGCACCGTCTCATTCAGCACGACGTGCTCCGGTATCTGCAGGGACGTCATGCGTAGGGCGACGATGCCTGCAAAAGATTCCGGATCGCGGTGTTAGACGCTGCGAGTCGCTGCGGAAAATGGGCCCTGCGGAATTTAGCCTCCTACACAACGCGGCTGTAGTTACAGCTACACGAGGCACGGCACGGGGGAGGGCGAAACTTCGTCGAATACGCGCGACACTCGGAGAAGAACCGTCATGAGTTTCTCGCTCTAATCGCGTACTCCGAGTTGCAATTTCGATCCTCAGCTACACACGCGACAGACGTCACGGTTAGGTAATTAGTTTAATGATAATGAGGCGCGTACTGCAAGTTATCTTGCCAGTGAGTCACGTGTGATTCATTGTAACGAACGCTTTTTGAATCACACGTCTATGATTCATATGTTTCAGGCGCGTATATGCTTATATATATAGAGAGAGAGAGAGGGAGGGAGAGAGAGAAAAAGATGAATTAGTGAAAGATATTATGGCTCTCATTGACATTTTTTACAACAATTTTATCAACAATCGATATTTTAAATTGAGATTTGTTATTTAATGATGGAGAGATGATGGAGAGAGAGAGAGAGAAATATTAGAAGGGATTATAATATCTACAAATTATATAATAGTACCTTCTTTCTTCTATATATATATATATAAAATAACTCCTGTTATATCCATCGGACTGGAACCATTCGTGTCATTTGGCAGTTTAGAGGGAGAGAAACAGATGTCGTATGTTCAACTGTCGAAAATTCGTTCCTGCACCTTCGAAATTGTGAGGTGACGCGTTGATTATTCTAGTTCGGAGTTAGAAATATACGCAACTGACTGTCGTCGTTCAACGTTCCCTGCAATTTCTCGCGCACGTTTCTTTCTACGGGCAATGTTAAAAAGTTAGATCGACAAACTTTGCGGAGATATAGAGGACAACGAAATATCTTTTTTTTTTTATAACAGTTTTCGCGACGATGTCTTGTTTTCAACGCACTATCACGTTGTATCACGTACTAAATCTCGATTTAGCGTTTCCTAGCGAAAATGTTCATCGTAAAAAAGTGGATCACTTTTGTAATTTTTATTAGCTTTCTTTGCTCGGAATAAAGATACGATTTAAATGTTCACTGTTCTTGCAGCGTCATGTAGCGTCAAAACATCACTGAAAAGAACGTTATGACGAAAAATATCTCTTTTGACGTTCTCTGTATTTCTTCAAAGTTTGTCGGTCTATTTTTCCAACATTTTGCGTACTTAAAAGGAGGAGAGCATAGTTTATGCATTTCTAAGAAAATACGTAGCAAGTGTAGCCAGAAGGGATTGATCTAATATCGCCGGGAGTTCTCGCCAGATCCGCGATTGCATGTCGAAGAGCTGAAAAGCTCCTGACTTCGATATCGACTCGGAGGAATAATTGATAACCGAAGAACCGCAAGGCGAGCTCACGTGCGTCGCCTTAAAATTGCAACGGGCTTTGAGATGTTGAAATTTTCTCAACAATGCATTTTTCTGCGCTCGTGTTTCCTCCTTTAAGACGTGTACGAAGCTTTAAGCGCGCGAACGCCATCACACAAGTGCACGATGTTATGATGTACACAACGTGACCTAGAATACGTGCGATCTTTCAGACATAAATATAAATAAGCAGAATTCAACCGCGGGAATCTCTTCGACTCGAAGCATTTCCGATTGAAGATGGACGCATCTTCACCGTTGCCGATATTAATTTCGCGGTAGGTGAGTTTTCCATTCGCAGAATAGAATCTGAGAGGTATGGAATAGATTATGAGAGATATAGTTTCGAGATATTATAAAACACCGAGATATAATCTCGATAGGCAGCTGTACGTGAAATTGATTGATTTATAAAGTTTGTATTCTTCATGAGTGGTTCATATAGTATTCGTATTTACCACAGATTAATGAAATAGAAATACAAAAAAAATTACCAAATTTTATTCAAAATAACATGTCATGTGATATGAAAATTTGAGTGTAGCTTTTCGTACATTTTTGCTAGATTAATATGACAAACATGTATATTATTGCAGGATGCATCCTAGTAGAAATTGAACTTCGTGGATGTCTAGCCATGAGATAGTAAATTTTTGTCTAACATCGCTACTTGCCTGTAATGTAACGCTCATTTTTCGGCTAGATTACAAAATCGATTCCACATTTTAGTAAATAATCAGTCAGCAACAAACTAATGACAAGCTAGAAAATTTAATCTAGTCTGTATTAGCTAGCTATTAGCTAGCTATTAGCTTTCGACTCAGGTCACCGACAAATACATTTCTATTCGCATAATTTCATTTAATGACTAATATAGTACGTTTGCTTCACAAACGTAGTCGAAAAAAATTACGAAGTGTCATCATCGATTGCCCTTCACGTCATGACAATCAAAAGTCTATCGAGGAGCCTTGCGTCGCAGATCGCGAAAACTCGGCGGTACATCTCGGCTTTTTCGGATTTTCGGCCGGAGACGAGCCGACCGCCGAGTTCAGCAAGCCGGCCGGGAAGTCCCCGGATTATCCCGCGCACAATCCGTGGCACACGCGCGCCGTTTTAACCGCATTACACATATCCGAGCGTTCCGCGTCCGTAATTGTGGCCGAGCGCGCCAGCGATGTAATGAACGCGGCACGGGACGCGCGCGATATACAACATACGTTTATCAAAATTCTTTTCGCAGCACGGAAGGGTGTCCTCTAATCACGCCCAGCACTTTCGGCTGCGGAACGATACGCGAAACGCGCCGGCGGTGCCGCTTCATAAACAACGCACCGGCCGCGTCATTAATTAGTCTTTCCTTCTGGCCGCGCGAGCTGAAACGCGGTGATTACGCTAATCGTGTCAATGTTTATTGTGTTTAAAATTCCGCCGGCGGTGTCTTAAATTAAGTCCGCTAATGAGTGGCCGGCCAGGATGAGATTGCCGTTTATATTGCGCCCTTATCGGAGCTGTTCGCGCGCGCGTTGCGCGTGCACGCAGACAGGCAGTGAGGCAGGCACGCACGCACGCATTGTCATTGATTCGATAAGCATCAGGGGTCACGCAATATTATCGCCCTCCGCGGCTACGCCGGTGAAATCGCCCGAACCGAAATGCTCCGTGTTATTAGGGGTAATTAATTTTTTCTCTCACGTGTCGTACGATGGAGTTTGTTAGGGCCCCGTAATGCGCTCGATGTGCGAGAGAACGGGAAAGAGAATAAGAGAGAGAGAGAGAGAGAGAGAGAGAGAGAGGGAGAAGAGAAAGAGTAGGTTAAACGAGCGAGGCGAATTATCGCGATCGCGCGAAGCGGAATCAATCCACTGCGCGATCGTACCACCGCGCGAGTTCGTGATTCCGTTAATAACGCCGCGTATGTTCGTTCGTAACGGCGAGATTCCGGTTACCCCGACGCCGTATGATACGGGGAACGCTTGCCCCAAGATTTCCGATAAAAAAATCAGTAGCGAGGAATGAAGACGAGACGATCGTCAATCTGTGTCGAGTTGCCGGAAAGACTGGGAAAATCGACGGTGAGTCAATGTATCTCAACGTGGTCGAATTAGAGATGCCGCTCTTGAGTTAATGCCATTACATATAGAGTGTCTGAAACCTTTCTTGTTATCCGTGATGTGCTCGTAGAACAGGTGAAACTGAATAGAAAAGTCATGTACCATTTTGCAAAATTCGCAATAGTTGATGGAGAATTAATTAATTTGTATGAACTAATAAACGCATGAGAAGCGGTAGGCCATGCAGAAAAAAAAATTAATCTTAAATCAAGATAGATATTCTTATAGAAGATTTTTAGTCTTGAATTGAGTTCAAAAGTAATATTTGCATCAATTCCAATTTGTTCAAGTCAAGATTAAAAATTTTGTAAGAAGATTTTAATATTCTTTTTTATATATGAGAACAACTATTCTTAATCTAAGATTAAATTTTTCTATGCACCCATCGTTGTTAGGAGATTTTCAAAAGTATACTATTTTTCTTTATACAGAGACCAGTCTACCATTTTCCGCATGCTCATTAACTTATACAAATTAATTTCTCGTTAATTATTGCGAATTTTACAAAATAATACATGACTTTCCTATTCAGTTTCACCCGTTCTCTCTGCACACCACGGATATTTAAAAAATTTTCAGATACCCTGTGTATTATTAACGTAATATTTGCACAACGATCGAGATATATTATACGAAACATAGAACGTTTGTATACACAAACTTGTAAATCGAACTGTGTATACATGTTTTTGCGTTATCGTCGTGCGCGCGCGCATGATCGCTAGAGGCCAACAGTCGGTCGCCGCTTGTCAGGGAGTTAACTGGGCTCACGAAGGTACGCATGTTTACTTGTTAAAAATTTCTGTGTTAGTAAACAGAATTATTTAATATTTATAACAGTCAGTAGCAGCATCACGCACACACACACAGTGTTATTGACATTGCTCGTATTAATATCTGCAATTACCGCCGCGCTGATTTCCATTGGATATACAAAAGCTAAACTGATGATAGAATTATTGAAGATATACGGTAAAGAAATTTAATTTTGAAATATACGTGTCATAATAATACTCTTTGAAATATATAATAGAGATATATCTTTTTCCTCCCGCCACTACATTTATCATTTATATTTATCTCTCGCCCCGTTTTTCATTTGCTTTCTATCGGCCGTACAAGCAATTTTTTAGATGCAATTAATTCCATCTTACACGTAATTTAATGAAACGTGGTCGTATCACAGGCCACCGGTGATCACGATATTTAACGTGTTGACATTTCAACTGCCACGGAATAGCTCGACGATACTTTCCGACTTAACGAAATCGGTTACAGACCTGTTGGAAATAAGCATGTTTTTAATGTGATTTCAGCCTGGTTCGGTTTAGTTTAGATCACGTTTTGCTTTAACTTATTTTAGTTTAGTTCGGTGTAGCTGCCCGCTACGACGAGTTTTGCGAAGCTTCCTAACGTAATAGTCCAACTTGAAAATTAAAAGTTGCTGCCGCCTGAGACTCTTTTGCATCCCTTTATC